AGAGTGATGCGAGATGACACTATGATAGCGAATCCAAAAGTGCAACTTTTGTTAATAAAACTTTAATTTCTTCGTTTAATATAAGTGAGTATCTTCACTGTTGTTGGTTTTTCATAAAAAAAAACAAAAAACAATGAACCACAAACTGCATTCGTTTTAAATAAGGGGAAATACATTATTTAGGCCATTTGAGTTACAACGCAAGGCTATATCCATCTTATTCATTTTGTTAATAAAAGTTAGATGTTTAATATATGCGAATTTGCCATTGTACTATTTTATGGCTGATGTGTTTTAATTAATAAGATAAACCACAAACTATACAATCGTTTTAGCCTAAGGGGAAATCCATATTTATTTGTGTTAAACGCGGATAAAACATATCCTTATTCATTTTGTTAATAAAAGTTCAAAGTTTATTATAGGTGAATTTGTCATTGTACTATTTTATTGTATAGCCTATGTTTTTTCCCATTAATAATAATAATGAGCCATAAGCATTTGTTTAAGTAAGGGGAAAATTCAAAAATTGTTCATTTGTTTGTGTTACAACGTGGGTATATCAGTCTTATTCATTCTGTTCACAAAAGTTTTATGTTTAATAAGCGACTTTGACATTGTAGCATTGCTGATGTTGTGTGTGTGTTTTTCATTAAGAGTAATAATGAATCAACCATTAAGCATTCATTTTGTTTCAAGAATAGGAAAGGCCTAACGTTAAAGATCAAAATAAGCGCTACAGATGTGAGAATGTGAGATTTGTTGCGGAGTTAAACGCTCTCGCTCTTTCTCTGCTGTCTCTTTGCTATGTCTGTAGAAATGGTCGTTAATTCTTAATTTGGTTACGGCACAGACATGTTACAGGTAATAATATAATCAAAAAAATCATGGCAACAAATGATTTTTTTAATTAAAAAAAATATATGACTTATATAACTTATAAGTCAGTTTAATAAGTTGAAACGACTTTCACAGTCAATTTTATTCAACTTAACTCATGTTTAACTGTTGCTTCTTGTCAGGCTTAGGCTACTTTTTTCAATGCATTTTAATGAATATACAAATTAATAAAAATACATTTTTTTTATTTATTCTTTGTTACAAATCATTCATTCATTTATTTTTAACACCGCACCCCCAGCACCCCCATTTTTTCGTGGGCTACCCTCCAGGGGGTGCTGCAGCACCCTCAGCACCCCTACTTCCCGCGGTAATGTCTACAAATGAAGTGTTTAATGTACACTTGTTGTTGCATATGGTATCATTGTAATCCTTGACCATAAAAACATAGGGGTAGACATCACCTTTTCTGTGTTATCATGTTTGATTCAGAAGATATGACACAAAATACATAATATGTGACCCTGGAGCACAAAAGCAGTCTTAAGTCGCTGGGGTATATTTGTAGCAATAGCCAACAATACATTGTA